ATTTGCAACATAGTACATAGTTGCTTAGAGTTGCAACTCAGAGGCCGGCAAGTCAGGCGGGGAACGTTGGAGTCTGCAGTCACTGGAGCAAGCAAGCCTCATGTTCGCTTCCAGCTGCCTGGCTGCCGGCCGCCATCTTGGCTGACAGTTAATTTGCATAAGGATATGCTGATTAGCCAATGGGAAGGGTAGCGGTCGTACGCTAATTACCATGTTTCTCTTTTATTAGTGTAGATATGTATTAACACTGCACAGGTATCCCTTGTGTAATGGAATAATTACTCTCTGGCCAAGATCACTGTATGGTGAAATTCTGTTATGTGAATTCTATTTTATGCTTTTGTGATAACACTGATATATCACCACCAGATTAAGAAATAGATGACTTTGGTCACAAGCATGGGGATACTGCTTGCGCCAGTATAAAGAATATTTTGGTGCTTAAAGCCAAACTTGTCTAAGAATCATGCTATGTGCTGTTTCTTGTGCCTCTCACAGTTTTAGTCTTCATAGATGATTTAGATTCCATTATTACTTCTCAGGGGAGGCACACAATAATAATTATCATAGCTTACTAAGTGTCAGACACTATTCTAAGTGCTTTACACATATTTAATTAATTTAATCCTCATGACAACACTTGAAGATAGAGACATTATTATTATCATCACTATTTATAAATGATAAAACTCAGACTAGTAAAAATTAGATAACTAAAATAGGGTCATGTAGACTGTAAATGTCTGAGCTAAGATTCAAATCAGTTTCTTTTTGACCCCAAAGCCCATGCTCTTGCCCTTCTACCAAGACTTCCAAGCCAAGTTCATCCTCTAAGTCATCAGAGCCCAGCTCAGAGACTGATTCAGCAAATCCTGCACCTCCTCCATCCCTGCTATGATCAGTCTCTTGCCACTTTTACTGGGACAGTGGCTAGGATGGTATATGGGCATGTCTGTGTGTGGGTGGGTAGATACTCTTCTCCTCAAAACTCATTTTGTGGTAGTTATTAGACAGGTACAAGGAGTCTAAGAAGGAAGGGAAGTAGAATGAACTCCAGTAAAAACTTGGACTAAAATAGCATCATTGTGGAAAGATGTTAAAAATAACTTCACTTGTGATGATTGGTTCAAATCCTGCCTCTGTCACTCACTAGCTGTGTAACCTTGGTCAAGTGATTTGACATTTCTGTACCTCAGTTTCCTCATTTGTAAATAAGGATTACAATAATAGCAATGCCTGTAAAGCAATGTCTATAAATCCACTTTGTAGCACTCTGCAGAGCTCTGCAAATGTCCAGAGTAAGAAAGGAAAAGTCAGTGTATCTCAGACCCTGAAAAACAGGGAATGAGCGAGGTTAGGGAGGAGGCATGACCAACATAGTCAGTTGGTACAAAGATGTCAAGTAAAATGGAACCTTTAAGAGGATCCAACTGTTCACAGCTGTAGCTTGGGTATAAAATAAGTCTCAATTAAATACTTCCTATTATTAGTGATACCCATGTAACTAGACATTCTGAGGATACACCCAACTGACCATGCCCTCAGATGTTCAAAAGCCCCAAAGTTGTCAACTCCCACCATTGGTTGGGAGCTAAGTTCTAGAGTAGACAGCTTTATGTAGCTCTACCTTTACACAAGGAACACTAGGTCTTTCATTCTATTTTAAGCTAAGCCATACCTTTACCCCATCTTCTCCAACTTATAAAAACTGAAGGGAGGTTCTTCCAAGCACCCCATGAAGCAATTTATCTTAAGTGGGTGGCATATCATATGATCCTATCTCATGCTCCCCCATTTAATCCCAAACATGATGTTTCTTCTTTCCCAGAGAAGTCAGATTCCCTAATTCCTCAGCCTTGACCTCTGAACATGAATGGAATCTCCAAGCCGACTTTGCAAATGACTCAGAGAACTGGCAATTTATGTCTACAAAACCCTCAGGAGTGCTTCCCGGAGGTTCACCTGGACACAGTTTTCACAGGGTCACTGCACCCACTGATCATGTGAAATCACCCCTATTAACTTCTGAATGATGACCCTGACAGGTGAAAGGGGAAGTAGTGATACTTTCTAGGAGCATATGTGTTTCTGAGTATTTCTTTACTTAAACTTGTTGAAATTAACTTGAGAATTTCTGCCAAGTATACAGCTAAAAAACACAGATAATCCCTTTTTTTTAACACAGTATTTCCAGGATTCTAAGAATTATATATTTTTCAGTTATCATAAGTAGAGACTTATGAGAGAAACTTTATAACTTTCAATAATGTGACATTACTTCTTTAATGTTTGGACACATTAAGTACCATATCCCAGTTGAACAGGATTCCAAATTGGAATACCAAGGAAATATATGAATAAAAATAAAATATATCAGAATTCAACTGATAGCTATAATGATAAGATCTGTTAACATATTTAAATTATGCCAGGTAAGGTGTACAAAATAAGGCTAATAGACATTACCTTTTCTGTTAAAAAATTCTATCAGAGCTGAACTCTCTTCAGGAAAACATTCAATACTGACAACTCTTCCCCCTCCACTTTGAGGATTTTCAAATAAACATTTCAAACTATAGGAGCAGGCGGCAGGTTTTCAACCCTGATTGTTTTTGTCATTTCCAGAAGTCTTGGAGAAAGCTCAAGTTGTGTCACTGAATGGTGCATGGCACAATCTTCAACAAATTTCATGGCATCTGCAAACCAAAATTTACCAATCAGAAAATTATGATTATATCTTTATATTATACAAAACCCAGTCTGAATTAATAGAGATAAAGAGGGGAGCTAAGCACTCAATTTTTAGGTGCAAGATTTTAATTCCTAAATGTGAATTTCCTTGACTAAAATTCCCAGTCTCTGAACAATGATGCATCTATGAATGTCTTACCACAGAGTTGTGTCCCTACCTCTGCTCAGAGCCCGCTCCAACCTTCCTTGATATAACCACCTGAGTACTCTCTACTACACAAATCTCCTCACTTCATCCCTTTCTCAGGTCTTTCAATGGCTCCCCATTACTGGCAGGCATGAATTCATACTCCTTAGCTAGGTGAAATATGTCCTTTGCTATTTGACTCCAAACTAATTTCTAAATATCACTTCTAGTTATTCCATGCCATTCATTTTATTTTCATACTGCCACAGAAACTAGTTATTATTCTGAAAACCCATTCTCCTTTGCTTTTGTTTATATGGTTTCCTGTGCTTGAAATGCCCTCCTCCAATTTTTTAAATCTTGGTCCTATTGCAACTTCAGGACTCATCCCAACTATATCTTTCAAATAAGTAAATATTGATGCTGGACCCACATTGTGTCAGGCACTGTGCTAGGAGCTGGGGAGAGAGAGAGAGTGATGAATAGAACAAGTTCTGGAACATTCACCTTCCAGGAGGGAGGAAGTCTTGAAAGCAAACAAGTGTTCTATTGTGCTATCAAATGAGGCCGGAAGACTAATATTGGCACTCAGACAAGGATTCCCAGGGTAAGTAGTCACCAGTCTGGGTTTTGAAGGATGAAGAAGAGTTTACCAGATAGATAAGGAAGGAAGCATTTCAGACAGAGGGAACAGCAGTGGCATGGAACATAGTATATTGGGAACCTGATAGCCTGGTACTGCAGGAGTCTAAGCTTCATAGAAGGATGGAGGCAGTGCAAAGTCACCCTGCCTTGTTTGGGTCCCCTTTCCTCCCATTGCCCACAGCCTGCTATTCACAGCTAAGGGAGGCAACTTCTCCTCTTGATCTTCACTGTTCACTTGTGTATTGGTTTCCACCCTGCCCTGTAGGAGTTCCTCAGAAGCAGGGACCAAGAATTATTCACCTCAGCAACATCAAAACCTCATATTACTACTACAGCACCTAGACATGTGCACATAGTATACATTCAAAATCTTTGCTCAATAAACAAAAGCAAGTCCATCTAGTTCTACCTTTATGAGAAATAATCATAAACTTGAAATCAGAACAACTCCCTTTATTGAGTCCTTACCAGGAAGGATGTGAAGAGCTTTTCAAACATTATTTTTTTTAATTCTCACAGAAACTGAATAAGGCAGGTATTCTTATCCCCATTTTATAGGTGAAGAAAGCAAAGCACACAGAGGATAGTAACTTGGTCAACCTCAGATAATTACTTAAATGTTGAAGCTAGAATATTTACTTCATGGCCTTGCTCTATCTTTTTTATCCTCACCCAAGATATGTTTTTGCTGACTTGAGAGAGAAAGGAAGGAAGAGAGTGAGAGAAACATCAATGTGAGAGAAAAACATCAACATCAAACCCAGAACTTTTTGGTGCACGGGATAACATTCCATCCAAGTGAGCCAGCTGGGCAAGGCACGACCTGTGCTCTTAATTAACCATTCCACTGCCTCAGCTATGGAACAGTGAGGACTTGGAATTGGAAAATGTCCCCATTTTTCTGGAGATGGCTCTTCCAACTCACAGACTCCTCCCACAGACCTCAAAGAGCACTCATTTTCTGCATCACATGCACTTACTCTCCCTGCATATGCGGATGACCATGAAAATACTGAGAAGATATATGGCAAAGGGGATAACAGAACAGGCTGTATAGAGGTATGCTGCCAGGGTTCAAATCCAGTTCTTCATTTATTAGCATCTCTGCACCTCTGTCTCCTCAGGTGTAAAATGAGAAATAATAATAATCATCACAAAAGGTTGTTGAAAGGAAAAAATTAAGTAATACATGTAAAGAGCTTAGCATAGTACCTGACTTACAGTAACAGCATTTGAGTGTTTGCTAGTATTATAATCATTACCTTCAAGTCCAATTTGGTAACACAGATCAATATTTACTTCTCTCAATGAGGTAACATGTGAAAACACTCACTCCTGTGTTCAGAATCACTTTAAGAGCCTTGGACTTCATTTAGATTTTCATTTGGGTGTGATTTCTCTCTCTCTCTCTCTCTCTCTCTCTCTCTCTCTCTCTTTCTCTCGCTCCCTCTCTGTTTCTCTCTCTTACACACACATACACACACATACATACAAAATTCATACAATAAATTTACTTTATTAAACATGCCATAATTTGGATTCACAACAAACTTGCTTCTCTTTCAAATAAAAAAGGATTTTTTAACTTGCAGTCCTCTCTTACCAGCTAATAGAAATCAAACTTTTAGAGACATTCCATTAGCTTGGTGTCCTAAATCCTAAAAGTGCTGTGCAAAGAAGACTGAACATGAAGGGTCACTTCATCTTACCTATGTATCTTCGAAAGGTAACTACGCCAACATCAAAATCTCGTATTACTTCCACTTCAAAATCATCACTGGACAGGCCACTTATGTTCTCCACCAACAAGGTTAGCATCATGTCAGTCACATTTCCTTTGAGATTTTCAAATGCAACCAAAGAGGGAATATTTTCACATTGCTTTGGGATATCTTCCATTTTTTCTGATCTTTTGTTGAGAGAAATTTGTGTATCTTCTGATGCATCTGATTTTAGGGATACAAAAGATATCAAGATGTTATATCTATCTACCATGATTTCAGCAAAGTAAATTATCATAAGATAGTGTCTTCTTTCCTTTCCAACCTCTTAGCTAACTCAAATAAAAACAGATCTTATAGGGCTTTTAGCTTAAATGAATTGTGATGATGATGTTCAATTTTATTACACCTTTTTCTGCTGACATATACTTCTATCACAGCACCATAGTATAATTATTGAACTCAGTTTCTCAAAGGTAAGGAACATGTTTATGCATCCTGGTATTGCTAGCACATGGTATATAATTGAGGCTCAATGAATGTCTGTTAAATTGTAGATTTAGTGCCTAGACCACTGGAGGAAAGCAAGAATATCTGATGATGCCAAACATGAGCATGATCTAACACTTTATGCTCTGAAAATCAGTACTTCCCATCACTGAAGAGAAAAAAAAAGATGCTTGCATTGAATGACTAGGGGATACACAGAGAAAGTAAAACGGCCTAGAGAGCTATACGTGTACATCAAACTCAGTGAATAGCAATCACTCCAGCCAGCTTGTTCCTCCCCATTGTTGACCATAAGTGAGTTACACATAT